AAAAAAAAAAAAAAAAAAAAAAAAAAATAAAAAAAAAAAAAGAAAAAAAAAAAAAAAAAAAAAAAAAAAAAAAAAAAAAAAAAAAAAAAAAAAAAAAAAAAAGGTATTTATTGAGTGGAATACCCTCAAAATAGCACAGAAACCACACCAGGATGGGAAACCAGGGTTTATTCTGTGTGTGAGTGATTTGTCTCACACCTGGCATCAAGGAGATCTTTCAGATTCCTATTAAATACATGAAAGAAATCAATTGATTTTACAATATCAGCTGCCATGGATTTATCTGCTGGCTTTTAATGTTTGAATGTTTCAGTTATCAGGTGGGTGTATTTGGGTGCATCCCATGCAGACCTTTCTCCACGGACAGGCAGATTAGAATTACAGAAATCACATAACATGGAATATTGTGGGAGGGGCAGGATGACAATTTGAATACTCTGTAACAACAGAACTAAGGTATTTTGCTCCTTTCATATTTTTCTTGGCAGGTATTTTGCTCTTCCCCCATTTCTCTTGTCAAACAAACCACAGTTGTTATGTTTCTGTTTAATAAATACATACAGATTTCAGTCTTTAAGGACAAATATAGTTTATAAGGATAACATATAGATTTCAGACTTTAAGCACCATTGTAGTTTCCCCTAATTGAGGCATAAGAAGAAAAAGAATTAATATTACTGGGTTCTCTAGTGCCTGGGTATTTATATCATTCATTTACCATTATAAAATAATTAATATTATTCATATTTATGAAACTGCCCATATTCTGGTGATCTTTAATGAAGAGGAGCAGAAATTCACCCTGCTGATGTTTATAGGTGTGTTCTACCTCATGTAAATGGATCAGGTCCCCTCACCTCTGCTCACACCTGGTATGTTGACTTTTGTCCTCTCTGTCATGGCTAAGAGGATTTTAATCTGGATAATGTTATTTTTGTGGGTATTTCACACGTCACTTGGCTTAGATCTCTGTGTGCTGGAAGACTGTGTGCTGTTAACAGAGCAGATAAAGCACACAGGAGATGCTGACAGTGTGTGGGGTGATAGTTTGATCCAGGAGATGATCAGACCATGGAATTAATGAGGCATTTGAATTCGGGGTGTTTGCAGGTCAGGTCCATCCTACCTTGGTCCGTGATGTCCAACAGTCCTAGTGAAAGCCAAAGGCAGCTCAGACTTGGTGTGAAGCAAAAAAAAAAAAACCCACCACCACCACAAGAGAGGGCTGTGGGTGACAAATAAAGCAGATTTCCAGCAAAAAAAAATTCTCTCAGGTGAAAAAAAAAAAAAAAAACAACAAACCACCAACAAACAAGAAAAACCCAACAAAACCCAAACCACAATAAAAGAGAAACTTGCTGATTACAACGAAGGCTTTTGAAGATTACATCAAGTCAAACTTTTATTAGCAAAGTCGTCTTTCATGTAAAATGAAAATATCTTTTCGAACCATACGTGCACACCTGCGTGGTACAAACAGCAACTACGGTACAAACACGGTCCTCTAAACTTCAATCAATGCACACTAACATTTAGCTCCAAAAAAGTGACGTCCTGACGGGTGACACCACATTTGCTTTGATCTTTTTTTTTTTTTTTTTCCCCTCGTGAAATTACAAAGTATCTCGTTTAAAGAATAGTAAGAACAATAACAATAATAATAATAATAATAATAAAAAAATCGAAAGAGACAGTGTGCTTTGGCTCAAACCCACCCAGGGGTTCCTGCCTGAAAACAGAAATCAGTGCAGATCACTTGAGATTGGACAGGAGAGATCCAGAGCCGCAATGTAAACATGTCCTGGTGCTCCAACACAGTTTGTACATTTATATTTTGAAACCCCTAAGCATTGACAGAGATGCAGCTGAGGGCTTGATCCACTGGCAAACAAAGGAAATTCTCCAGGAAGGATTTCCTTTCTTTAGGTCTGTTTTTAAAGGCAAGTAAAATAATCTAATTACACCTCTCACTGTAAAAATGATCAGGAGGTTTCCTTTCAGAAGCTCGAGGATCAGTGAATGCTGTTCTAGCTTTTGTTTACAAAATGTGGAATTATTGTTTAAAAAAAAAACAAAACCACACCTTTTCATAGAGAAAGATTGTGCTAGTGCTGGTTTTCATCTCAAAAATAAGATGGGCCTGAAAACTTTTATTAAAACCTCTCGTGGATTGGATTGACCCACTCGGTCAATGGAATTACTTACTGGGGAAAGAGCTGCTCATTAAAATTTGTGTAACATGAACAAATATCAATCATTAAACAATATTCCAATTAGATCCACTTAAAACTTGAGTTACAAAGAAGGGTTTTTTTTCTATACATGAACACACAGTTTTATCCAGAGGGGGAAAGTAATTTTCAGACTTGATTTCTAATTCTGTTCTTCTAAAGATCCAGCCCCAATGGGGCTTTGATACCAGTCCTGGAGTGTTTTCCTGCTGAACTGCAGAGAATGGAAGATTTCTGGAGATTGGATCCCCAAATTTTGCCAGAGAAGGAAGCTGGGGCCATTCCTATAAGTTCTTGATTGTGTAATTATGTTATATATATATATATATAAATATTAATTAAAAAAAATTAGTTCTGGGATTACAGTCCATACTAAACCACTATTATGCTGCTCTGTGCATCCAAACAGTTCACTTGGGAGAAAGGACTGAGAGTTATGGGTCCTTTCCAGCTCGGGATATTCCTTGTTTCTGTGATGTTCAGTAAAGCTGGTGATTTTTATTGAGCTGCATGGCCACACTTCCTCTCAGCTATAAAATTTAGAAAAAAAAAAAATGCAGCCCAGCTCCTTGCAATGACAAAACACTCCTCAGGAAAATCTCACCGAGGGCACTGCACAGGTTCCACCTCACACCTTTTCCTCACTGCTGGATTTTTAGGCCCTGGGGCATCGTGGAACACCAACATTAAGATTTAAGGATCTGAATTAAAATTTTAAGAGGGAAAGGAGCCCCTCCCAGCACAGGTGAGCAGCGCATCACAGGGATGTCATCAACACCTCTCAGCAGCAGCAGAGCAAGTGGGAGCACAGGGGATTCATGGTCATTATTCTATCATTTGACACTCACTAATTACAATCTGAAGTTTGAGTCTGTTTGACAGAGGTATTTGGTGGGATGAGGAGTCTGGTTTATCTGCAGTGACCCCCAAGAACAAGGAGATGGATGAGCAAACACAGCCCTTCCCCAGCCCAGAGGGCTCAGGGAGGATTTAGGGGACTCCACCCCAATTTTATTCCCTAATTTTGTTCCTATTTTGAAGACCCTTGATCGGTGCAGATCATTCCTAAAGGAAATGCATTAAAAACAGCCCAAAGCTTGCAGCAAAGGTTGTCACAAGCCTAATCAGTTCTTAGATTTTATCTGGTTTGGGCTGCAGCAGACATGAGTCAGCAGATAAAGATGCTGCTGGGAAATGTCTCTGTTGCTGAGATGCCAATTTTCACATCTCTCTAATTGTGCACTCCCTCCTTTTGAAAAGGAAGATTTGTTGCTTGGGTTTTTTACCAAAATGAAAAGCACTTTGGAATTTTCCCGTGTTTGGATTGAGTGAAATACAGCAAATAAAACTTCATAAGTTATAAAAAGCAAATTACTTGGGTCACTGATACAGTGTGGGGTGATTTTCGATCAGGGCAGGATTCCAGTCATCATTTTATACTCATATACACAGCCTGAATGGGGCTTTGGGGCTGGCTATTTGGGGGTTATTTTCCCAAACAGAGGTTACATGACAGGCTAAAATTAAACAACAACAACAACAAAAAAAAGAGGCACAGATATACAGAAGCACCAAGCACCAAAGGCTTCCAGAAATTACCAAGCTCTGAGGAGCAGCCTCAGCCTAAGGGGAGCTTTCTTCCACTGAAATCATGGAGCCCAGGAAGGAGCCACTGGGGAGATTTGCCTGATTAGCATCACAATGCAAAGTAGCTTTTAGGATCTATTCCTCCTGCAGTCACTGTTTAAAAACACTCTAATGGAAGTGACAGTCGTTTGTAAGTGCAAGAAGAGATGAAGCCGCGTCGATACTCTACTCAAATCAGCAGATTCAAAAGTACAAATGCTATTAGAGAGATTCAGGAGATTCCAATACAAAAAGACCAAGAAAATGTGCTGTACAGCTTTGCTGGGTTAGTGTTGGAGAGGCAAAGGAAGGAATTTAAACCAGCAATCAGTCAACAAAATATAACAGAAACTCTACCATAATATTTTCTCCTTGCTTTTGCTTTTGCTTATTTAACAGTGAATAGCTTGAAAATAAATGATCTCTTGAAAGTCAGGTAGCTCTAGTTTAGGTGAGACTGGAAAGGTGTGAGAGTGGGATGACTGGAATACACAAAACTCCTTCTGAAAACTAGTTTATGCTGGTCCAAACTCATATTGAGAAGCAATTCTATTCATTCCTACACAGCTATACAGACCCATGCTAGCAACATGTCCATTTAAAATAAAACCAGGCTGATCTTTGCTTGTGTCAATATTAATATCATATGTACAACGTCTCCAGGAAATGTTTGCTAGCTCACAAATATACAGATATGAGACAGACAACAAGTATTTTGCTTCGAAATGCAGCTTGCAGAGACTGGGGAAAACAAATTAAAACACTTTTGAGTGATGGGATGGGAACCCTGTTTTGCCTTGCCACAGGAAAGATGCTGTAGCTTAACTTATTTAAGGAAATAGTGCCAGCTACTGGGCAGCAGCTTCATCCACACTTTGCTGTGGATAAAGCTGCATTTCTGAGTATTGGTAACTGAAGTCAGCTGTAACCACTAAAATGATTTTTAGAGTATCTTACACAAAGGAGTTTAACTCTTCAGGAAAAATTGTACAATATATAGAATATATTTCTCTGGTATTTTAAATTAGTGTTTTTCTCAGTAGGATCATTGTGCCACTTTGAAGAGTATTTTTATTTGATTTTCTTGGGTTATAATTCCTAGGTTATAACCAAGGCCACGATACCTGTGGGAATTCTACACAGAAATGTATGTACAAAGTGACAGTGGCCATACAGGAAAAAATATCTGTACAGAGAAACATATTCCAAACCTAAGAAACACATGGAGTAGCAGTTAAGGATACAGATTGAACACCGAGATATTCTGGGCTGGTAAGACTAACACATTTTGTATAGCAAATAATTCTTTGTTTTTGTTTCCTTTAGAAGAAAACACGTAGAAATTAAGATGGAAAATCATCTTTTAGTGGCAGTGACTCGGTTTTTTTTTTTATTACCTAGGTATCAGGTTAGTCCTGACCGGCTCAATTGGCAACCTGTGGAGTGCTGATCAAGATAAATATCACAATTAAACACCAATCATTCCTGCCAATATATCAGGCGTGGAGAGGAAAAGTTGCTGTAGAGCTCCCAGTGCTTTCCACTGATCCTTTTTCCTTAGATCCAGAATAAGCTCCAATAAATGAACCGTCTTCATTGAACATCCCATGCTCCCCTTCTCCATAATCTACCAGACTATCAGCACTTTCAGTGGCTTTAATGTCCCCGTTAAGTGACCGGAGGCTGCCTTTCAGTGGCTTTTCATCGCTGTCACTACAAAATAAAGAGATGCCTTTCCAAAAATCCTGCTTTCCATGGCAAAAAAAAAACCCCAAACAAACTAAAAAAAAAAAAAAAGAACAAAAAACCCTTCTCTTTTTATTGGGACAGAAAAGCAGCAGGAGGGAAGAGCGAGGGAGAAATGTCTATGGTGTGGGTGGTTATGGGGATGATCTGACCCCATGAGTCCTGCTCTGGTGCTGCTCACACTTCCACCAACCTGAACTGCCCCACACGGGGTTTGATCATTAGTCAACAAATTAAATGGTGAAAAAGGCAAATATTAATGAAAACTACCCACTTGTTTAGGGGTTTTTTTTTGCCCCTTTTGCCTTGGGCAGACAGAAGGATGGACAGAGAGGAAAGGAGAAAGAAAAGGAAATTCTGGAAAGGATTTGAGGGGTCTGGTCCAAGGATCAGGGCTGATTATTTTCAGTTTACAAAACAACGGGCAATACTCAGGGCTTAATTATTTCATTTTCCTTTAGAGGTGGGTGGGTGAACAGATGAGGCATCAGCTGGAGGTTTTATCTCACTGTCTTGGGAGCATCTGTTTGAGTTTAGGTACTAATAAAGGTGCTTGCCCCCCTTTTTTTCTGCTGTTATTTTGTCTTTTCTGCTTAAGAGGAAGAAACAAGGAAAAACAAAAGCAGGATCAATGTCTGGTTCTGCTCACAAGCAGTCTGTGTTCAATGAAAATTCCATGAAAAAGAAAGGCCCATCATCAAAATTCAGGGAATAAAGGGGAATTCCACTGGCCATTCCTCCTCAGAACCAGACCAGCCTGATTTCTCCTGACTGAACACAGCATTTGGGGAGATTGGGAATG